TTTATTTTATTTATTTATTTTTTTATTTTTCAAAGTAGTTACAAATAGTAGTACAATCGATTTTGTTCTTACTAAATTGAAATACCAACACATCAATCTATACTTAAGACCGGATGCGTTTATCGATAAATTTAAATCTGATGACCACACATTATGTGCAATACATTTATGTGACATTTGGAAATTAATCGATAAATGTACAACAAAACAAATATTTATCATTCTTTGTCTTTTAATTTTAAAGTGACTACATCTTCCTTTATCTACTCACATTAATAGGTCGAATTATCATACATAATGTATTATTGATTATGGTCGACATGTTATCGATATATCCTTAGTATAGTATATGTGACTGTATTGCATTCCAACTGAATTAGGTGTATAATGATTTTTTTAGCAGCTTTAGGTTAACCATTTGTCCATACATACAAAGAGTGTATTTTTATCAACTTTTGTCCTTTAATAGTCGTAATAAAACAGTCTAATATAGTCGCTGCATATATTGAATGTGGTGTTCGTTTAATCATGACAAAGCTCGCGCGCATAAAACTTTTAGGCAGCAGCCGCCATACGCCATAAATGTATATACTCAAATATATATCTCTATATATACCACCTACACATTCAATTTTTCCATCATTATCTCTGCATGGCTCGCATGATGCGCTCGTCTCTCGTCCCACAAAAAACATTTAACGTACAAAAGCTGTTGCATGCCCAAGTTAAATTGTATTTACATAAACAAAAAGTTTGTTCCATGCATGATATATACTATATATGTATATCGCGATATCTATAGAGATCTATAGAGAAGTGTGCAATGTTTACAGTCCCGATGAATAGTTTACTTTTGACGTCCTTGTATCATATGTTTGTGCAATTGTCTATCGATTGTTGAACTTTGTTATCGACTTGCCTATTTCTTGTATCGATTTGTATCGATTGTTTCGTTCTGTTTCGTTTGCAGGGTGCTGTTTTGTCACCTACTATACGCGCAAGGCGGCTCTGCGGGCCCAGGATGCGCTGCACAACATCAAAACTTTGGATGGGGTAAGTACAACAAAGGGAATACCCCCAATCAATAATATTCTATCATTTTACATATATGTAGCTAGCGCTTTGACTTGCTCGTTTTACGTTCTGTATGTGTATGTATGTGTTTCGTATGTATTACTTCTGTATGTAATTTGTAAAAGTGTGCGTTATTTCTCTTTCTACTTTTCCTCCGTATTTCACTTTCGTCAAATTTGATATGTTTCGCTTTCTAAATAATGCAGCTTGAGAAAGTCAACCACTGGCGCTCATCGATCGATCGAATGACATAGTTTACCACAATGTACCTAAAATTTCTAATAGCTAGTCATTCGATATGTACACACACACACACACACACGCAGAGAGAGCTACACCCATGGCCGTGGGGGCGTGGCCGTCGGTCTGTTGTTGTGTGACCAACGCAAATGTAATCATCAGTCAATTAGTGGATTCAATTATTGAGGACAATCTCATTGTTAACGTATTAAATGAAGCGTTCACGCACAGGCAAACACTGTAAAGGGACTACCCTTACTCAAAATACATACTCACATATCGCTCTCTAGGTATGTACGACTAGCTAGCCTTTGTAGCCAGCTCGCAGTCAGCTACTTCATTTACATATTCAAATTGTTAATGGAAAATCCAATGGCACTAAAGCAAGTAAGCGAGAGAGGAAGAGTGAGATGATTGGGAGGGATAGAGGGGGAGAAAGGACGTGGCAAATGACGCCACATGTGTAATTGTCAAAATAATGATCAATGCCCAGGTATATATGTATATGCGTATGTGTGTATGTATATAGTTATATATACAAGCACTTTGTTTGTATAAGTAAGTGCCCAGCTATGCATGTGTGTGTGTAAGTGTGTGGGTGGGGATGTCTGATCCCTTAATGCATTTGGCAGGCTGCCTGAACAACCACCAAGCCCTCCCAATGTCTGCTGCTCTGCAAGAGCTACTTAATTTACCTGAAATAATCGATAGGTAAACAGACGTTAAAACGTCGGTATTTTCACATACATGCACACGGACGCAACACACACAAACACACTCACACAGGCATCTGCATGTTTGTGTGGGCCCAACTTGTCAACGGCTTCAATAAATATTTTGTTTTGAACTGACCAATTCGATCTATATATAGACCATATACGTACATGTGTATAAGTCTATGCCCGTGTGTGAGTGAGTTAAGTGGCCCTTTTGGTCGGGCTTTTTCTGTTTTTGTCCTTGTTGTGTGGCACGTGTGAAAAGACGCAGTTGTGACGCACTTGGATTGCCCGGAAAAGTGATTACACTGTAAAACTCGACAAATGCGATTTATTTTTGTCCCAGCCCAAAAGTATGCAATAATTTTTTGTATTGGCTTTACATGTGTTTGCTTTGAAGCATGTGAGCGAGAGGGACAAACATAGTTGGGAAATAAAGCTTTATGAATGTAATAATGAAAGTTAAAATAAATATATTTTTGGTGAGAGATTTAATAAATGTTTTAATATTCGTATAATTATAATGTTCAGAAATTTTAATAAGTGTATAATTGAATGAAATTTTTATGTGAATTTAAAAAGATATAAATTTTTTATTTT